GTTTTTGTGGCAGCAGGTTTCAATCTTTTGTGTCCATGTTTACCATTCCTTTTAGGGCCTTTTGTATGGCTGGAATTTTGAACAAATTCCCTTGGTGCTTGCTTGTCTGAGAAGGATTTTATGTCTCCTTTTCTCAAGAAACTTAATTTAGTGGGATATGTGATTCTTGGTTGGAATTTATTTTCTCTAAGAATGCTTAAACAGGCCCCTGATCTCTCTTGGTTTGTAAGGTTTCTGTTGAGAGGTCTGCTGCTTGCCTGATGAAGTTTCCTTTGTAGGTGACCTGACCTTTTCCCCCAGCTGCCTTCAAGATATTTTCTTTTGTATTCGCCATGGTGAATCTGATAACTGTATTCCTTGGCTTCTACAGTATTTTACTGTGGTTTTTGGTATTTCTTGAATTTGAATGCCCTTCTCTCTAGCGAGATTAGGGAAAATTTCAAGGACTATATTCTCAAATATGTTTTTCAAATTACTCTCTTTCTCTTTCAGAAATATTCATGAGTCATAGATTTGGTCTCTTTGCATAATCTCATATTTCTCAGAGGATTTGTTCATTAAAAATTTTTTTTGTCTGATTGAGTTGCTTCAAAGAACCAGTCTTTAATCTCTAAGAGTCTTTTCTCAGCTTGGTTGATTCTGCTGTTTATGCTTCTGATCATATTATAAAATTTTTGAAGTAAATTCTTCAGTTCTAGAAGTTTATTCTGTTTTTTTTCTTCAGATAATTATTTCATCTTTCAGCTCCCAGGTTGTTTAACTGTATTCTTTGGATTAGGTTTCAACTTTCTTCTTGATCTTGATGAACTTCCTTGCCATCCATATTCTGAATTCTGTGACTTTCATTTCAGTTATTTCAATCTGGTTAAGAACTATTTCTGGTGGACTAGTGTGTTCATTTGGAGGTAAGGGCACAAAGTGGGTTTTTGAGTTGCCCGAGTTCTTGCACTGATTCTTTCTCATGTGCGCATGTTAGTGTTCCTTTAACTGGGACATAAGTTGAGTATAGTCAGTTGGCTTTGTTTCTGGATGCTTTCAGAGGGCCAAGACTCTATACATATATATGTGTGTGTGTGTGTCTGTGTGTGTGTGTGTGTATTTTTTGTGGCTCATTTTTTTCCTTTAGTTTTCCCATGTGTTGTATATTGGCAAAATATTTTGGTGGTATAATTTGGGCTGTTATTCAGTAAGTGGAAGTTAAGAGTTGTGACCAGCAGATAGACTATTAGCTCATGACTGTTTTACATTTTGGTGCATTTTTGCAGCAGTGCTCTACGGATATGGAGGACAGAGATGACTCCCTTACCTGTTCTGCTGCTGGGCCTTGGAGGAGCCCCCTCCAATTGCTGTTTTCATGCCAGCATTTCCTTTGTTAGGTTTCTGAGCCACGAGGCTCCCTCAGGCAAGAAATATGATTGGGAGACAGGGAATCCCCTTTCCAGATCTACTCTGTGGTGGGAGGCATGCCCTATTCCCCTACTGGCCTGAGGGAACTGAGGCGTCTCAGCCCTCACAGTATTCTAAGAGTGAAGGCTCCCCACCTGCTTGGACACCAACCATGCCAGCATGTCCCACTCAGATAGGATCAGCAGGAGTGGGTGGAGTCATCTGATCCACCCTCTGAGTGCTTCCCAGGGGAACATAGGGTTGTGTACACCCACAGAATTTGGGCAGAGGCTGAGCATTGTGCTGGAAACCCCAGCTGGTGTGTCCCACCAAGCTAGGAGCAGCAAGGATGGGTGAGGTCTCTTGCTCCACTGTCCAGGTGTTTCCTGGGGGAACATGGAGTTGTGTACCCTGGCAGAGTTTAGGCAGAAGCTGAGCTACTGCGCTGAAAGCTGACTCTGAGCCTTATCTGGCAAGAGAAATGGTGCAATCTTTCTGCTGCCAGGCACCATGACTATGGCCTCTTTCATGGCTTTGGCAGCTGGAACTGGGCTGGTCCATAGTCCAAAGCCTGTGGGAGGTCCCTATGGACTTGAGTGTTGCCTTTACAAAGACTTCAGGTGGCTCTGTGGATCAATTTAGAGGCCCGGGGGGCACGGTGATTCTCTCATTTCCAGGATTGTACAGGTCCCCATGGGAAGTGTGAATCCCCCAGGGGCTCTCACTCATTTACCTTTTCTCCATGTTGGGAGAAGCTCCATGGAGCTCCTTCTGGCTCCATGTTGATTCCAGATGTGCTGCTGCCAAGCTTCACTGTTCTCTGTTCTCCATGTCCCCTCACTTCCTCGACAGATCCCTAGGAGGTTTTTTAGATAACTGGCTTGTAGTGTCAGTCTTTACTCACCACTTTGTTTCCTCCCTGTGAGAGCAGCGCACACCAGCTACTTCTAGTCTGCCATCTTGACCCCGCTCTCATTTTAATTTTATAGTATTAGATATCTGGAAGTCTTAGATAAAAACATCTCAAGGGGGTGACATAGATTATGCCTTGTGCATATCCAAGACCAGGAAAGGACAAAAATCCTGCTTATAACACATTCTTCCATCCTCATGTGACCTTTGATGCTCCCTTGAAAGGTGTTTAGTTTCACTTAGGCTGATCTAGCCTTGCTGGGGCCAAGGCCCTGCAGCTGAAGATAACTGAGGGTGAGGTATTAGTTTCTAGGGAAAAAAATCCCCTTAGGCTAATCTGGAATCAAGATGATTAATACTTTTTACTAACAAATAAAAGTTCAGGAGTCCCAGGGAGTTCAGTCACCTTAATGCCATTGAAGCTATAAATACTCTTTGAAGACATAGGCTGTTGGTATTGAAATATCAGCCAAATGATCTGTAGCAGCTGTGGAAATTTACCTCTTCCCTTGAGAAGTGACTCTGCTCATAGCCTGTGGAACCTTCTGAGTTTGCTTCTCCTATTCAAACTGTATATTATCTTCCAGAGTTCTTAGCAGTACCCTTGGTCATCTTTGAGAGCATGACAGACCCTACTAAAACCATCATTTAGGAGGAGGTAGAGGACTTTGCCTAGGGTGCCTTCATTAATTTCTATTATTTGCTCATGAATTCATTTTCTCCTACAAAAAAGCTATTAATGTGGTGTCAAGATCCATTTGCTTCAGCCATTTTCCTTATTGTATTCATTCTGCATACTATTAGGATCAATTTCTTCTTATGGAACCATGAATCTTATGACAGGACATGAGCTGTTGTTCCAGGGAAAACTCATGAAAGCAGCCACATTGATCAGGGTAGCATAACACCCCAGCTCCTGGGCTTGTTGTACTATCGTAGGACCCATATTGCACATCGGAGACACAAATCTCAGATGATGAAATATTCAATCCAAGAAAACGCAGGAATGCTGCACGTCTTTTATTTTTGAATCCCCAGCATCTAGAACCGTGTTCCGGCTTTGAAATGAATCACTTAAAAATAATATATAAGTATGAAAATGCAGTGGAACATATGCTCTGCACATTTTTGGATTTGGGTATGCCTAGAGATCTGGGATCTTGGGTGGTTGAGGTAGGGGTGAGTGAATGGAATATGAAGGCAGTTTGTGGAGGTCTGTTTGTGTGAGGTGCCATGGTGGGTAGGAACACATCTTAAAGGGAGAAATGTATGTGCACGAAGGGCTTGGAGTGTTTACACGGTTTTGGTGAGGGAGGTGGGGCAAGAGTAGGTATGATTCTGCTGTAATGTGATACCGATCCCTCTGTTTATGGCCAGCTCAATTCCATGGAATTGTAGCTGAGCTGCAGGGGAAGAGAGGACATCCTGCAATCTATTTCATTACCACTCTCTCCACTTTATATTACACTCAATTGGAGGGGTCTGGCAGTGCTGTGCTTGTTATCCCACCCCTTGGTGCCACAGACCACTTTGTAGTTTTGGCCACTCCAGAGAGTGGGTAATGGCATAGGTAGGAAACTGTAGTAGCCTGAGAGAAGACAGCAGAGGCAGTGGGATAGTAGTGTGCTCAGAAAAGACACATGGTTCCTGACTAGATTTGCATGTGTACATATAAATAGACTCCCATAAATGCTTATGGGGGTTGGGGGTCTTTGTTAGAGGCTGAAGTTTTACATGATCAGATGGTGCCAAGGACAGACACATTTTTACTCTTGTTGTTAATGTAATGTCACCTGGACCTATAGGCTGTGGAAGTGTGGTGTGTGTGTGTGTTTGTATGTGTATGTGTATGTTTGTGTGTGTGTGTGTATATGTGTGTGTGTGTGTGTGTGTGTATGTGTATGTGTATATGTGTCTGTGTGTGTGTGTGTGTTCCTCAAATTCAGGGACACTCAATTAAATCTCTAGGATTCCTTAGAGATTTTAGGCTCTTTCACAGCTTCTCTGGTGCTAATCTGAAATGTGGCTGGGGCAGCATGTCTGTATGACTTTCCAGTTGGTTTCCCAGGAGGAAGAAAACAGCTCAGAGCACTTGTTAGTCCAAAGGTTTAAATGCACTAGAGTCAAGATAATTAAGGATCTCCAGGAGAGCACAGAGAAGAGTAATTGAGAAAAGCCAAGTGAAAAATAATATGAGGAGAAAGGGAGATGAAGGGCATTAACTCACAAGAAGTTGGCAGGTCCTTGTTTAGATGATAGAAGGGCTGAGCTGATAACAAGAAAGGTTGGGACAAGTTGTAGCCAAAGGAAATTTCATTTGAACATTTGTCAGGATGTCCAAAATGAGGGATCTATTGAATGAAGGGCTCAGAAAGGGAGTCATTTGACTCGTTAAGAATGAGCTTTGCCCTAGCTGAGCAAAGATCAGCAGGCTGAGTGGGTGGCTAAGAAAATACCTTTACAGCCTCTGCTGCTTCTAATCCTGACAGAGTTGGAGCAAAGTTGAGCTTTTGAAGGCAGAATTGACACCATGTTGATGGCACTTGTGTCTTGCTGTGCCAATGCCATCCAGAGATGTGAGCAGTTAAAGGACTAAAATGAAATGGAGCCAGATCAATATTATTTGGCTGGGCAAGCAGTTGGGGGCCTGCAGTTCACAGGGGGCTCTGTGCTAAGTGCTTGATTTCTTTTCTACTTTTCAGAGAGACAAGTGGTTCAGAGGAGTCTAATGCTCCTGCTCCTTCCTTCAACTTGGAGACATTGGCAGGCAGAACTAAAGTGCAGTTTGCTAGAAACACAACACTCTTCTGGATGAATGATGGTTCTATACAGGATAATGCCTTTCTGAGGCTGGAGCACTGGCTTTGAGGCTTCCCCATTCAGTTCAAGTTGGACCAAGCAGGCCTATGTCAGACAAGGACAATGAATCTAAGGCAAGTCATGCGATGACTCCCTGTTGTTAAAAAGGTATTCATGTACTACCCAGCCCTGTCTATGCTCTGTACGTGAACTATGGTGAACGTGATACTTCACTGTTACCCTTCCTGTAGGGTTTTGGCAACCGCCCTCGTTTCCAGGATGTAGGACTCTCACTACTAAAACCAAGAGAGCCTCAGCAAATTGGGACGGTAGTCACGCTGGCATAGGAAAGCATTATTAGCTATGCCCTGTGCTGAGTGCTTCACCTAATTTATCTCATGCATTTCCTCTGCCACTTCTGAGGAAGACTTATTTGCTCCCATTTTATGGATGAATATAGCCAGGCAAAAACACATTAGCTAACTTGCCTAACAAAATGTTAATGTCAATTCTCTTTGGACAGTGAGTGTCCAAGTGAACTTTACTGTTTTTCCATGTTCTATACATTGTTTAAATTTATTAAATAAACATGTATTATGCAATAATATTAAAAAAATTAACCAATTTTCCTTGTGGGAAAGTAAGTCATTTGCCAAAGCCATGTGTTTAATGAGTTGAGTCTGGAACCTGCACTGATGAATTCCTTACCACCACAGCAGCAGGACTGGCTTAGAGAAGAAATTCCCTCATTTTAAGGTCTTTCTCATTCTTTGGGCAATTTCTATCCTTACCTCTGACTGCCTTAGAACCAACCTATGCTGAATTCTCTATAATGAAGAATGTTAGCATGAGTTTTCTCTGTGTAATAGCTTCCCAACTAGGCATAGTACTCTCTTTTGCAGAGAGCAAATTTCTTTTTAGCTACAAGATGCCAGATATGAAAATCTTACTCGTAATTAGCACCCTGGGGCAAGTGCTGATAAAATTCTATTTCTCATGATTATGGGAGAGTATGCGGAAACCCAGTGGAGGGCTCCTAAATTTCTCTATTTTATCACCAGGGCTGTCCATCCCCTGCTGTCTTGCACATCTGTGCAGTTCAGTTGCTGCCTCAGAGAGAAAGGGCAACAAGGAAGTTTGGCGAAGTGACCCCACCAATGGAAGACAGCAGAGGAGGCTTTGTGCTCAGCTGTGCTGAAGTCCTCAAACATACTTGGGAAACAACTCTTTTCTATACCTTCAAGGTTTGCCATGAATGTTCCAAATTTATGGGACTCATGCTCATCCTAAACACGTTCCTCTGTCTGTTGTTTCCCCTTAATAAGCCCGAAGCATTTAAGTGGATTGGAAATCTCCTTGCAGTGATTCTCCCACTTTGACTTGGACACACTCATGGCACGAGTTTGTTGGGCAGCACTTGGATGTAGTGACTGAGGCTCTGGAATCAGACAGGCTGAGTTTGAATGCCAACTCTGGCCTCTTTTAGCTATGTGGCTTTGAGTAATTCAGTTCATCCCTCTAAGTGTAAATGTTCTTATAAATAAAATGGGATAATAATTATACCTAACTCATAAGATTGATGTCAGGATTAAATAATACAGTGTACATATATTACCTGCTACAGAGTAAATGTTCAATATCTACGTTTTCACCTGGATTTAACAGGGGCAGGCAGGAATCATGAAGAAGCATGAACTCACAGGCATGAGCTCAAGCTGTCATCCATGAGTTTTCAGGAAGGGTAGATCACAAGCAGGCTGGAACTGCGTGGTTATGTTCATGATATTTGAGGAAGCGTCATTCCTGCTTTTAAAGTCTTCCAATGGATAAAGTTAGAATCATCCAGGATCATCTCTCTTACTTAAAGTCAACTAATTAGGGGCTTTAATTACATCTGCCAAATCTCTTTACCCCAGTACCTAGATTCGTGTGTTTTGCTGAATAACCAGACCCTATAACTAGCCAAGATGATGCCCCAAAAAGCCATCCCCAACTTTTAGCTGTGATCATCTATAATAGTTTCTGTGTCTGCTGTGACAAATTACCACAACCTTGGTAGCTTAACAGAAATATATTATTTCACAGTTCTGGATGCCAGAAATCTGAAACTAGAATAACTGGGTCGATATCAGTGTGTCAGGAGAGTGACATCCCCTCTAGAAGCTCTAGGGAAGAATCAGTTTCTTGCCTCTTCCAGATTTTGGTGACAGCAGCATTCCTTGGCGTGTGGCCACATTGTTCCAACCTTTGACTCTCTGGTCACATTGCTTTCTCCTTCTCTAGGTATATCAAATCTCCCTCTGTCTCTTTCTTATAAGGATACTTGTGATTACATTTAGGACCTATCCAAATAATCTTAGATCTTTAGACCTTAATTTAATCATTACTGAAAAGACATTTTCCATATAAGGTAACATTTACAATTTCCAAGGATGAGAACCTACTATTTTTGGGGACCATTATTTAGACTACCACATCACTTCCTCATGTATTTCTGGAAGCCTGCTTTGTGCCAGGGACTTTGCCACGCTGTTGCGAATGCGAAGATGGAATAGTCACAGTCTCTTCCTTCAAGGAGCTGATGGGTAACAAACAGAGAATCTTCAGGTAAATGAGTAGCCTAGCAGTAATACCAAGAGGCAAGTCCAAGTGCCTCTGGATGGTTATTTGTGATGTGGTGAAGGATCTTGGAGAAGAAAAGAGATCTCTTTCAACTATGAAGATCCAGGAAGGTTTCATGAAGAAGAGAGCATTTAAGAGATCTTAAAGGATATGATTGTCTAGAGCAATCCATTTCAAATTTGGAACTTCTAAAACACACATTCTTCAACTTCTTCAAACACAGGTTGCTGGGCTTTGCCCCCAGAATTTCAGATTTAAATAGGTCTAAAGTAGGGCCTAAGAATGTACATTTTGAACAAATTCAAGGGCGATGTGGATGCTGCTGATCTGGATACAACACTTTGAGAACCACTGTTTAATACATGTAAAGATAATGGCGGGGGGAGATAGCTCTTTCCTTTCTTGAATTAATTTATATGCAATTTAGAGGTCACTTTCTCAGAGAGCACTCCTCCTTTAAAGCAGAAGAAAACCTGTCACATTAATTTGCCCTGCTACGTTTCTTCATATTATTTATCATCACTATTGAGGGGGTGGTGTCTGTCTCTCCTGCTAGAAGGTAAGCTTCACTAGGATAAAAACTGTCTCTTTTCTTCACAGCACTTAGAAAAGTGGTTAGCACGTGGTAGGTGCTCAATAAATATTTGTTAAGGAAAGAACGAATGATCTTAGGTCTCATGTAGCTTAGAGTTCATTAACTCCTCTAGCCTTATTCCTTCAACATGAAACCAGTCACTTCATCCTACAATTATTTAAACAGAATTAAATCAGTCAAGTTGGCTTTTCGAGAGGACTTTTTCATTTTTTTCAAGATGTTCTAGTTGCCACAGTCTATGCAGAGCTGAAGATAATTTGGAGTTACCTTAAGCAGTGAAGAAATGCCCATAAAGTAATTAGGCTGGTTTGAACTCAATTAATTCTTAATATTTCCATTTTTGAATAAATATTTCATGTATTGCTCTTCTGGGAGGCAAAGAGCCAGGAAATTTCAGCAATAATGTGTGCATAGATGTTTCTTTTTCCCCACAGTAGCACATTTTGAACGATATCTCAATAGGTTATGACAAGTGGAGCAGGAAAAATTATTTTAATTTCCCTAGGTCAATTATTAGAATTACTGAAATATATACTTAAATCACACTTTATCAGTGTGATCCACTCTGAGGAGGAGGGTAAGTAAAAAAAGACCGGATTGGTTTATCATAATTAAGTCTGTGCCCAAAATGCCAAAGAAATCAAATGTATTGGACACATCTGTCTTGCAGCCATTGAATATAACCGTGAAAAGGGGGATTGAGCCTGTCTAAATGTGGCATGCTGCTATAAAGCAGGTGGTAAAATCGAAAGAAAATTTAAAACAAAGTACATCTTATGAGCTATGTTCCTAAATTTTCCCTTCAGAAACAGATGTCACATAATAAACCGTAATAAAAACTTTGAACATGTACAAGGACATTTTGAATAATTAGAAATTTATTTTAGTCATTAAGTTTGATGATAACTACAGGGCTCTTCCCTAATTCCTCTCCTTCTAAGCAGAACAAGAGAGGTAGAAATGGGGTCAGGTTAGGGGTAACATGATCTATGTGCAAAGGTGGGGTGATCAACTCATCACAGTTTGCCTGGGACTTCCCTAGTTTTAGCTCTTCCTATCTTGTATCCCAGAAAACTCCTATGTTCTGGGAAAACTTGGACAACTGGTCACCCTAGGCACAAGCTGGCTCTCTTATTGGGTAATGACAACCGCTACTAAGGATAGTACACAGAGGTTGAATGGCCATCTCTCTGCATGAGGTGGTTCAATCTCTAATGAATTTTAGAGGCTGACTGGCTGCAATTCTCTCATGCTCTAAACAAATCCTAACCTCAAGAAGCTAAATATCTAATTATAGTCATATAAAACAGCATGGGCTGGGCGTGGTGGCTCAAGCCTGTAATCCCAGCACTTTGGAGGCCGAGGCGGGTGGATCACGAGGTCAACAGATCGAGACCATCTTGGTCAACGTGGTGAAACCCCGTCTCTACTAAAATTACAAAAAATTAGCTGGGCACGGTGGTGCGTGCCTGTAATCCCAGCTGCTCGGGAGGCTGAGGCAGGAGAATTGCCTGAACCCAGGAGGCAGAGATTGAGGTGAGCCGAGATCACGCCATTGCACTCCAGCCTGGGTAACAAGAGCAAAACTCCGTCTCAAAAAAAAAACAAAAACAAAACAAAACAAAACAAAAAAAACCAGCATGTATTTGTACAAATTTCTTTTATAGCTTAACTTTAAAATAAAGGTGGATGAATTTATGAATTCTTATCTTAACAGTTGATCTTTGCTTTTAAAGCTCTATTTGACAAATTCACCCCCTTTCAAAAGATGTACAGTTATTTGGTGTTTAAATTTCCTAATCCTGTACCAATATTTTTTTTTTT